AACCCTTACCTTTATGTGAATCGGCTTGCTTTTATTTTATTTTTATTAATTTTTATTTGAATTTTTCGATCTTTTTCGTCGCGCTGTGATGACGTCACAGCGCGCTTTTGTCGAGCGCGATTTTGTCCTACGCGCTTTTGTGGTGGAACCGAGAATACAGGTAGTCCTTGACTTACAACCATTCACTTAGTGACCATTTGAAGTTACAAGGGCACTGCAAAAAGTGACTTATGGCTATTTTTCCACACCTATGAGCGTTGCAGCATCCCCAAGCTCACATGATCAAAACTTGGATATTTGGCAACTAGTTCATACTTATGGCGGTTGCAGTGTCCCGGGATCATGTGATCACCTTTTGAAAACTTCTGACAAGCAAAGTCAATGGGGAAGCTGGATTCACTTAACCACTGTTACTAACTTGACAACTGCAGTGATTCACTTAAGAACTGTGCCAAGAATGGTCATAAAATGGGGCAAACTCACTTAACGATGGCCTTGCTTAGCAACAGAAATTTTGGGCTCATTTGTGGTTGTAAGCCTGTATGTCTGCAAATGCAGCCTGTTAATCTGTTTCACAATGCTTGTGTGAAGAAGCTAAAGAGAGCAGCTAGTAAAGACCATCTATAACAGAGTTGGCAAAGCTTAAAAGTGCACAACACGCATGCTAAGCACTCACAAACTGTGGGGGCAAAGCCATACCAAGCTTGCCTGGTCCCTGGTGAAGAGACCAATGATATTGTGAAGTCTTGCCAGGGCTTTCTGGTGCCGTTATTTGAGACATCATCCACCATTAATTCCAAAACTGATATTTTGATCTGGTTAATCTGAGCACCTGTTGCCTGAGCCACAAGTAAGAAGTTTTAATTTGGATTGGGGATCTATCCCCAAAGGATTTTTCGAAATGACCATCAGATCATTAGTATTTCTAATATTATTATTAACACGCTTTGTTGCTAAGGAGTTAGACTGAAGGAGAGAAGGGGATAAGATAGGAGAGGCTTCTGTGGGACAAACCTGAGGGAGAGAAGGGGATAGGAGAGGATCAATGGGCCAGCCTGAGGGAGAGAAGGGGATAAGATAGGAGAGGCCTCTGTGGGCAAGCCTAAAGGAGAGATGTGGAGAGGAGAGGCCAATCACAGTTTCGTAGTGGAGCACAGGTATTCAGCTAGTTTAGTATATACATCAAGGGAACAACCCTACGTAGCCATCATTGGTAAAAATTGCATACAAGGACCTAATTTGATTCCACGCTTGAAAGCCATTTTTAGAGCCTGTCTGGCAATAAAGTTTTCATTAAAGTGGGGGGGGGGGGAGGATATCTTGTACCATCATAGTGCAACCAGTTTCTGAGTTTTGTTTTTTTCCCCTTTATTAGGTAGCTCCACTGATTAAGGAGCAGATGATGAAGAAAGGTTCCATGTTGGTGGGCTATCAGCCACATGGCAAAAAGGTGAACTTTTTCCGCCAGGTGGTCACCAATCCAGCAGTCACCAGAAATGACCTGGATTTCTTCCTTGATGAAATTGAGAGGCTTGGCAGAGATCTATAGATTGTGTACAATGCAGATTGGAAGAGTTATATATATGGTTCAAAAGCAGACATCACCTTACTTCCAATCACCGCGCACCAGTCTTGAAATGGCTTGGAAGCTACACTTCTCCAACCATGCACAGGGACCCATGAGCAGATCCAACTGGCGCATGGTCTTTTTGCTGCTATTAAAACATTTTACAAACATGTTGTGAAGATGTAACAGTAACGTATGCACCCCACCACTTTTTTCTCACCTATTTCTGTAATTATGGGTGTGTTCCAAAATTAGAGCAAACACCTGCTTTAATTTCTTCACTGCCTTCTGCAAAAAAACAAGGAAAGTTTAGGACTTTCAAACATGAGCTCTAAAATCCAACAGCCACTAAGTAGCACCAAATAGATACAGACAATTCAACCTCTTTGCTGCTAGCTAGTAGCTTGGAGTTTTGCAGTTCGGAAAGTGTAGCCCTTGAGAAATTGTAACTTTCTAGTGATTATATATTCTGGCTTCATCTGTCTGAATCATCTGTTTTTCCATAGGTTTCTGATACACCTTTCTGTACCCCTTTTCTTCTTGAAGAGCAGCAGCTGGAGAAAAATAATGCTGTTTTAAGGGTTTAGCAGAGCAAGAGCATCTCTGCTTCTCAAGCTCTGCTTTGATTATATGTTGCTGGATCTTAAGGACTCAGTCTCCATGAGGATTTGCTCTAACCTGGTCTGAGGTTTCCCAATGGTATATCCCCCAATTTCTACTTGATGCTTCATTGTGAATCGGGGCTGTTCTGGGGGGGACGATTGAAGAATATTGGGAGTATATGCCAAGAGTATACAGTACTGTGCACAAGTTTTAGGCAGGTGTGAAAAAATGCTGTAAGCAAAGAATGCTTTCAGAAATATAAATAATGATTGTTTATTTTTGTCAAGTTTCAAAATGCAGAGTGAACAAAAGAAAAATCTAAATCAAATCAATATTTGGTGTTACTACCTTTTGCCTTCAAACCAGCATCAATTCTCATCGGTACACTTGCACAAAGTCAGGGATTTTGTAGGATTAGTCAGGTGTATGATCAACCAATTATACCAAACAGGTACTAATGATCATCACTCTTATATTTGTAACAAGAAAATGGATAGTTCTTTTTTTGCAAACTAACTTTTACTTTTCAAGTAAGATTTAATTAAAATCTAATCCACATTCTCCCCCCTCTCTCTCTCCCCCACCCCTGGTTTGGGCAAGTACTGACTCCTTAAAAAGTCCCTATAGTTTTGGGGCAAGAATTTTCAAAGTTGTTTGCCATTGCCTTCTTGGGGCTGAAAGGGAGTGACTGGCTTAAAACAATGTATCTGACTTTGTGCCTAAGGTGTGATTAGAACTCACAGACTCCTGGGTTATAGTTTTACTTGTTTAACCTACTAAAGTTATTTGTATTTTTAATGGAAGAAAAGATGAAAACAAAGTAAAGCTTAAGTGTTACAGAGATTGAATTTATGTACTGTATGCACATTTTATTTACCTTCCTATGTATTTAAATGTACTGCTTTTATAAAACTCCATCACTTTATACATAGCAGCATTAGAAATAGTAAAGTTTCTGCCTCCAAACAGCATTACATCGTTTATATTTTTAAAAACATTATTTTGGTCGAGATATTAAATGATCCTTTTTATTTTTAAAAAGTATAAAAACAAACATAGGAGAAACGTGTACCTAGAATTTATAGAAGCAAAGACAACAAACAGGAAAGAAGCCCTACAGCCAATATAATGTAAGCAATGAATCATTAAAGTGAATTTTAAAATATCGATCAACAGGACATGGACATTTATTTAAACTACAATTTTAAGCATGAAATACCGTTAACTAGTTTACTTCTGTCCAGAGTTAACATGTGCTGCAGTGAATACAGGTAGCCCTCTACTTACAATCATTTGTTTAACAACCGTTCAGTTACAACAGCACTGGAAACCTGACTTATGACCAGTCGTTACATTTGTGACCATTGCAGCAGCCCCATGAGGACATGATCAAAATTTGGGTGCTTGACAAGTAGCATTTATTTCCTATATTTTCAGCATCCAGGGGTTACATCATTGCCATTTATGACATTCCTAGAGGGCTTCCCAGAAGCAAAGTTAATGGGGGAAGCTGGATTTGCTTAAGGACCATGTGATTCATTTAATGACCACAGCAAAAAAAAAAAGTAATACAATCAGACACAGTAAAATCATGGATTGTATCAAATTGCAAATGAACAAACAGCATTGCACCAGCTTTGTACAGTATTTGACCCTGTCTCAGGAGTTTATACTGGAAAGGGATGGGAAACCAATGACATGCATTTAAAAGGATATTGCAATCTCTGTGATTAGAGTGGTAAGTATTACTGGGTTCTGAGTTTACTTCAAAATGTTTCATTTCCTTTCCTTTCTTTATAACCCCATCAGTGAATGACGTGTGAATTGATTGATGGTATCTCTCCCGTAAAGCACTATGAAGCAGTACATAAGTCTAAGTGCTACTGCTTTCTCTCTTTATATATATGTATGCATGTATGTATGTATGTCTATCTGTCATATCCATCTATCATGTCTATCCTCCCTCCCTCTCCATACACACCTGTTTCCCTGAAATAAGGCCTCCCTGCACAATAAGCCCAATTGAGTTTTTGAGGGCATGCGCTAAAATAAGCCCTCCCTGAAAATATTGCAACACAGAAGCAGCCATGACGTAACCACGCTCGCTGCCTCCTGCACTTCAAAAATAATAAGACCTCAATGAAAATAAGGCCAAGCACTTATTTTGGGGGTTAAAAGAAAATAAGACCCTGTCTTATTTTTGGGGAAACACAGTACATATACATACATACATACAAAAATATGTCTATAATATCTGTCTATCTAAAAGGTTTTTTTATAAATGGGAGAGGATTCAAGTCAGGAAAAGACAAGACTAGCACATAACTCAGATGTAGAGAAGACAGAGAATTAGATTTGCTTTGTTATTTTATATAAAGCAAATAAAACTTCAGCATGGAACGGAGAAAATAAAAAGGGAGAAAAAAATAGAGAAAAGAACACTTGCAGGCCTGTTCATCAAAAAAGGAGGTACTCCAACAGAGATGAAACAAGGGAATGAAAACTTGGAAAAGAAGTTAAAAATTTGTCCAATATAGAAAGCGTTACCAAATTACTGTTATTACTAGTAGTTTACAGCCCTTCAGATCCAAAGCTAAGAATATGCTTTTAAGCAAGTGGGGTCACGTGTTGTGCACCTTTGTCACTTCCTTAAAGAATGACTCTCTTTTTCTGGGCTCACAACAGTAGCAATTCCAGGAAAACGTGTACCTGAGTTAAGAAAGCACCAGCACTTGTTCTGAAGCACCTTGTTTCTCCTGATAGGACAAAAAACAAAACCCTACAATGGCATCCTATTGAATAGAAACTTTGGTATTTAATGACAACATTAAGTACCACAGGTGGTGAGGCAAACATTGAATGCTGATGAGGCTCATCTTCTGCAGGGTTGGGTGAACTTTTTCTATTGCATTTTATTCTAAAAGAAAACCATAGACACTGTGGTCAAGTTCTACCCCTTCCTGGCTGAGAATGTTATACAGGTTGTGGACAGTAGCCTTGTTCTTCTCACGGTTCCTCCAATGACACAGCATGGAGAAAATTTGCATGGCCATGTTTTTAGAATTCTCCTCTTCAAACTGCTCCAGACGTGACTTTTCCATATCCAGGAACATAATGCCAATCTCCTGCCAGTTCTTGCCCATTTTCTTGGCTAGTTTCATCAGCTGTCCTTCTGAAACCAGCTTGGGTGGTGCTGAAAAATGACAGAAGAGGGAAAGAGAAAATTTACAGATGTAAAAGAGATGAGCTGACGCCTCTCTCATTTATTATCTCTTAATATCATACAGGTAGCCCTCACTTAACAACAATAGTTGGGACTGGAATTTCTGTTGCTAAGCAATGCAATTGTATAATACACATCACATGACTTCAGTGCTTAGAAATGGCAAATAGGCTACTTGCAACCTTCCCTCCTGGCTCCCACTGACTTTGGGGAAGGTTAGAAAGCAAGCAGGGAAGGTTAGAAATGGCAATCACAAGATTGTGGGACGCTGCAAGGTTGTCAAGAAGCAGATTGTTACTACCACTTGTTCAGCACCACTGAATGAGGGTGTCATTAACTGAGGACTACCTGTACTTGCCTAAAATCTGTTCAAGGAATTAATACTACAGTGTTACTACCAGGAACTATAAAACTATAGTTGCAACTATAAAAGCAGGGATTTTATTATTAAATTATTTTAATTTGTGGATTTCATTATATAGGATGTGGACTCTGGATATTTAGATAATATGCTCCCCACAACAAGCTTTATAAAAAAATTAAATTGTATAAACCACATGAGAGGCAGTTTGGTGTAGTGGTTAAATGCATCCTGCTAGAAACTGGGAGACTGAGTTCTAGTTGTTAGACATGAAACCATCTACATGAACTTTGGATCACCCATTCTCTCTCAGGCTTAGGAAGAAGAAAATGAAAATCACTTCCGTAAACATTGCCAAGAAACTCTACGAACTTGTCCAGGCAAGCGTCATCAGGAGTCCAAATTTGAAGGCACAAACAGATATACCACAAGCTGTGTAATGACTAATGGTTAATTACAATCATGGGCCTTGTATCTGTATACTACTCAAACCTTCGGGTCTGTAACTCTTAATTGGGCGAAACAATGCACCATAGGGTAAAACCTTTTGAAACAAGGTACCACAAATTGGCTTCCTTACAGAATGTGCATCCAAAGTCCAGCACTCGTGACTCCAGTGGAACTGAAATCTGACAAATTTGTAGAACATGTTATGATAAAAATTATAAAACATTTTATGACATAAAGAAAATGTCATAAAACATTTCCTATGCTCAACTCCTGATGTTTAACTGTGCAATAGAAGGCAGTGCAATAGAAATTCTGTTACTATAGAAGCATTAAGGAATCTGGTGAGGAAAATACTTATCCTCAGAAAACTGGCAGGCAGTTTTGTAGGTCAGCAAAGGAGGAGGAGGAAGAGGAGGAGGCTCTTCCTGGGGCTTTCTTGAGGATCATGTGGGGAGGGGAAATGGAGTAAGCCTATATATTATATGTAGAAAGAATGACCTAATGGGTCATGGATTGTTTAGTAACACTATAAAAATATTATGCATGAATAAGCTTCATGGATTTATTTACAAGCTGTGGGCTTTTTGGAAACTACAAGAACTAATTTTTGAGTCCTAATTTTGCCAGTCAAAAGAGTCAATCATAATTCATGGGATATGTGTTTTTAAAACACCCACACACTGAACAACCCCCAAATCAAAAGCAGCTGCCACTCCTTCACTGTCCTGGAATTTTAAGAGATTGGGTTTAACTATAAAGGATAGCAGAAGAAAACCTTGCTTTATGTCTGCCCTATCAGATGGCACCTGACTCAGGTGCACCACAACTTTGCTCATTTCTTCCATCAGAGGCAATGCAGATTCTTCTTACTGGCTGATTTGCCATGTTAGTTCTACTTAGACTGCAGCTTTTGGGGGAAGATCAGAATTTATAGCATCCATAACTTAAGCATTTGAAGTGCTTCTGCCTTCATCCTGTCTATTTTTTGGTGCTGTATCAGCTCAGCCTAAACACACTATATGTTCAGTGGATTTTATTTACACCTATCTTTTTCCTCAAATCTCATCTGTTCTGCAAAACATTTGGCTTAATCATTCATCCTATATTTATTGATGAAACACATCCTTAAAGTTATACCATATGCTTTTTGACTTGGAAAAAATTGTGAGTAGTTGTTATAAAAGAAAACACAGCTATGGTATCATGAACTGCATTGTGTCCCCCAACTTGTCTGCTAATTTGCCCCTAAAACTGTTGATGAATTTTAGTCAATTAGCAATCTCAATAATAAGCAGCAAACCCATAGTAACCTGGCTCAACTCATGGATCAAAGTCCTGTGACTTTTCTTAGTTCAATTTGGCCAGTTTAACTACTCATTAAAAAAAATTAAGTATGTCAGCGTTTTTCTTGGCAACTTTATGATGTAAATTCTTTAATTCCCACAATGCCACACATTATGAAATTGTCAAGATTGGGGAACGCTGATGGGGTGTGTGTGAGTGTCAGTTCATATTCTCTTCTATGGGTACCCTGATCTATATTAACAAACATTATTCTGTATTTTCTGTTTCCATCCTTTTATTAACTGCTTTATTATTTAAAAGTGTACCCTCTCTCTTATTTTTCAGAATTCTCCTTTAGTTACAACTAGAAAGGAGTTGTAACTAGCAACAATCACCCCAGTCTAGGTTTAAATGCAGATCTTGCAACCAACAATATTCAAACTAATTTCTGTACTTTTCCCAGTCTCTCTTCTGTCTTCCCATTCCCATCCCAAGCTGTGTTCTGCGAACATCTCCATTATTTTAAAGAACTCAAGAATATTTGAAAGCCTTTCCATTCCTGCGTTGATTTGCCTTCTAAAACGCAACGAGTCTCCAAATTGTTTCTCTGACAGCAGGGGCATGCGAAGTAAATACAGTACGGTAGCTGATCGATACATACATTAGTTTTTTTTAGCATGGAGCTACAGTAGATTCCTCTATCTTTGCTATTTTAAAGCATGGGTAATTGAGCTGAGGTGATCATTGCTACGTGTCCTGTTATCCTTGATAATCTTACATACAGATCCAGGACAGCAACTTTCGGTTTTTACAGATCTCAGCCTGCTTAGCAAGGTGTGCGGCTGCTTGATCGCCTTTATGCTTACCCGCCGCCGCTGGCGCTGCCGCCGCCGCCGCCGCTGGCGCCGCCACTACTTCCTTTTCTTCTTCGGTCCTATCATGTCGGGAAGCCGCCCGTCTCGGTTCGCCCTGAAGTTGCAAGACGAGATCTCTCCTCGGCATTTTGTTTAACACCTCGACGAGGACATCGAAGGCATTTTCGGGGTAGTGCTGCAGGATCACTTCCGCTAGATCCACCCGAGAGTCAGTGCTGCGTTTCGCCCGCGGGATGGCCTCGGGCAATAAAAAAACAAACGCCGACAGCTCTTTGTCGGTCAGCTCTTCAAGGATTCCGAGCAATCTCTGTCTCTCGTCCATCACCGCTTTTCAGTTCGTGGGATGTGGGGGCTAGTGGGGCGCTTAGCGAAGGGTCGTGGAAGGAGGATCGAAACGCCACTCCCTCTTCTTACCAGGCCTGATTTTGCAGCGAGGCGGGAAAATGAGCTCGAACAAAAGGGCGCGCGCTGGAAGTTGGCTCATTTTCCCTTTCGTTTTCAGATGTGCCCCCGCCCTCCTCGGCGGCCTGAATGGAGGAGATTCAGGTTCGATTCGCGGAACTAAAAGGATGGAAGAGCAGCCGAGATTTCCTGGGTCTTAAAAAGAAAAGAAAAAGCACTCAGGTGTAAAATTCCTCCCCCTGCCTCACTCACCATAATAATAGAGACGATCGCGCGAAATCAGAACCCTGAATACAGTTGCTAGTGCGGGAATAGCACTCCTACTTTGATACATATTGGAATAAAATAAAATAATAAAATTTGGTCTCTATTGCAACCTACCTGGGCCTGGTACCCTCCAGAAGGGTTGGCATTGCAAGTTCCATTACTCTAATTCGGCGTTTTTAGGACCCCTTTGCACTTCTAAAATTATGTTGTTTTATGTGGGTTATATTTATTGATATTTACTACATTAAAAATTAAAAGTAATGTGTTTGCTGCTGCTATTGCGTCTCACAATTGTTTGATGGGATTTTAATACTATTTTTCAATGTAGGCTAGCAAATAATTTTGATTTTGCAGATCCCTAAGAAGGTCAATCTGATTTTATGACCACACTTTAAGAAATGTTCTAATTAGCATTGCAAGATGGCTAGAAATACAACAGTATTCTGCCAATAGTGCCAAGGAAACCACATGGATTCACGCTCAGGATATTTACATTATGCTGGGCAATGAATTTCCCAGGTTGCAAAATGCCTAGTGAACTGCTAGGGGAGATCAGAGAACAAGTACTGTACAAGTAGCCCTCCTGTTTAAGATATGACCCGACAGAACCTGAAAGGATGTCCAGCTGCTGAAGTGACAAGAAGCAAAAGGAAACTTCACTGCTGCAATGTTTTGCATGCTAGCGCTGTGTAGAATGACAGAACCATCAGAGACAGACTTGATGGTGTCAAAAACAGCAGTCTCTATATTGAACACTGACATTCTGGGAATCAGCAAACAAGGGCATGGAATACAACCAGCACATTTTCAATTGTATGGTCATAATAAAAGTTTTCGATTTGAATTTTTATTATGAGCAAGGAAATTGTACAAACACTGGGATAGCCATTCATCAAAAAGGTATCAAAGTTTAGGCTTAAGCACAGTTTTCCCTGAATAATAAGAAAGTAGTCTCAATTGAGTCAAGCTGATCAAAATTACAGCAATTCAGACCTATCTTGAAATCACAAATGAGAAGAAGTGAAAATGATTCTTTGTGGATGCCATTCTAGGCTCTTGCCTCTGGAAAGATTAACTCTTCTAAGACAATATATTTAATGCTTGTAATGTTTTGGCTGGCAGAATGCTGCAGGAGGCTGTGCCCCCCACTCCTCCCCCTGGCACCCTTTTTTCGCTAGCAGAAGCACCGTGGGCCGGTCCTTTTCTATTTCCAGGCTGGCCTTGCGGCCAGATCTAAGCACCCCGCAGGCCGTATCCAGCCCATGGACCTTGAATTTGACGCCCCTGGGCAAGAAAGTGAATGACATATTAATCTTTAAACTTTTCTGCTATTTTGTGCTTCGTTCATTTTTAAAAAACATTTCCCTCTCAAACCTTGCACATATATTTGTACCATTCTGGAGTTGTTTCTGAGAAATATGAATATGTCTACAGTGTGGTTTGGTTTTACATGATTGCAGCCAGAATAATTTGAGAACTATGGTTTGGTTTATGGTTTATTGTCATTTGTATGCCGCCCACTCCCTAGGGACTCTGGGCGGCTTACAGAGAAGACAAAGGGACATATAAATTTAAAAATAAACATACAATTTTTAAAAACTACACATATACAAACTGCTTAGAGTGGGGCTGGATAATAATCAACAGCCCCAGGCCTGCCAGAACAGCCAGGTCTTCGTACCTTTACGGAAGGCCGGAAGAGTAGTAAGGGTCCACATCTCTATGGGGAGATCATTCCATAGGGCTGGGGCAGCAACAGAGAGGGCCCTCCCCCGGGGAGCCGCCAACTGACATTGACTGGCTGATGACACCCGGAGGAGGCCCAATCTGTGCGATCTTATCGGTCTTTGGGAGGTAAATGGCACTATAGACTATAGTGAGAACTATAGTTTATGCCTTGGTGGATTTTTTACCTTTCCATTCAATTGTGTCCAATTCTTGCAGACTGCCTGGACAAGTTCCTGTTCCTGATGTGCACATGCGCAGAGCTGTCAGGAGAAGGGAACAATTAAGCAACAAGAGTCAACTTGGGAGTAAAGGCACAAGTGGACACTGAAGAGTAAAGGCACAAGTGGCCCTTCCCATAGGGGATAAATAGGGGCAAAATGGGAGTGGTGTTTTCAGGAGACAATTAGTTCGTTTATTATTGTGAAGATTTACTTATCTGAGTTGTGCCTCACAGAGACTCCTTGCCAAGTATTTCTTTGTATAACATTGCACTTGGAAGCTGTAGGCCTGGCAACTATCCAAGAACTGATAAGGTCTGTTTTGCAATTAAACCTAGAAAGACTTATTGCCGGGACTTTGCTGGATGTGAATGCGAAGAATTCACATTAGCCAAAGAAAAAATGTTTTTTTTCGGGACAAGGAGTCTGTTTCATGATTCTGTTAAGCCTAGGTTATATCATGTGGATGAGGGATCCCCTATTTCAATGAATCAGAATAGAGCTGGAAGGGCCCTCATGCTCTAACAGGAGACCCTATATACCTGTGATGGCAAACTTATGGCACGTGTGCCACAGGTGGCATGCGGAGGCCTCTCTGCCAGCATGCAAGCCGTTGGCCCAGTTCAGCTCCACCGTGCATTCGTGCATGTCTCCCACTGATTTTTGGATCTCTGCTGCACATGCAGGAGACACACAAGGAAGCAGGGGGTCATGTGCAGGTGCTGGTGGGGGGGCATGCATACATGCATGGGGGGGCAAGGGGAGCAAGGGGGGTGCAGTGCCTCCCCATGCCGATTTTGGTCCAAGGAGGCTTCAGGGAGGCTTGGTAGGCCCAAAATGGGGCGCGGGGGTCACACGTGCATGGCCTGGGGGGAGCACGGGGGGTTGTATGTGCATGCGCAGGGGGTGGAGCACACCGGGTGTGTGTGTCACATGCATTGTATTATGGGTGGGTGGGTACATGCACCTACGCTGTCGCACGCAAGGACAAAAATGTTAGNCTTTTGTAACCAACTGATACACTTTCTACAGTATGTAAAGAAGGAGGATTTTATGTGTAGTGTTTGTTTTGAAAATTCAAAATAAAATTTTTTAATAAAAAAACAGTGACTAGATCAACTAAACCCACAAATAAGTAAGACATGGAAGAAGAGATAAAAATGATTTCAATAAATATACATGGATTAAATTCAGCAATAAAAAGGAAAAGAACATTCAACAAATTATAGAAATTAAAGCTAGATATTATATGTCTGCAAGAAATACACATTAAAAAACAACATAATTTTTTTTGGATTATTCAACATTTGGAAACTTATACATGGCACTTACCTGTAAAAATAAAAGAGGGGTAGTACAATATATTAAAAAGACAATACAATCAAAGCTAATATTTGAGGATGAAGAGGGAAGAATACTAATAGTGGAAATAACAATGAACTGTAAAAAAATATTGTTGGTGGCAATATATGTGCCAAATGAGAATCAAGAAGAATTTTACAGAAGACTACACAGAAAGATAATAGAATATGAAGACATGTGTATAATAGATTTTAATGCGATTGTAAATAATGAGCTGGACTATAAAACTGCAAAACTGAATTAGAAACTAAGAACTTTCCCCAGGACATTTTTTACAATGATAGATGAATTAAGTTTACAGGATGTGTGGACAAGAAGACACTTGAAAGAAAAACAATATACATTTTATTCAAACAGGCATATGTCATGGTCAAGAATAGACATGATCTGGATATCAACAGGAGTAATTGCTAAAACACATAAGATTGATATAGAAACGAGTACAGACCATAATCCAATAACAATGACTTGGAAAGGACAGAGAAAAAGAATGAGACGGACATTAAATCAAAACCTATTAAGTGAAAAGAAGTTTCTGCAGTACATGGAAAAAGAACTAACTTTCTTCTTTAAGGAAAACAGAAAAGAGGATACGTCACTGCAGAATGTGTGGGATATTATTAAAGCATATATTAGAGAACTGGTAATGACATATTCAGGAAAAGGAATAAACAGAATAGACAAACATGAAAGAAGGAGGAGGAATATAAGAGGTTGGAGATAGAATTACAGAAAAACCCACAAAACAAAAAGTTTAAGAACCTGATGGACCTGCAAAAACACAAATTGGATATAATGGAAAATGAAGATGTGGCAAATAAAATAAGACAAAACCTTTGAAAATGAAAATAAACCAGAACGATGGTTGGCGTATAAGATGAACAAAGAGAAGGAAAAAAATTAATAAATCAACTAATAGATCAAAAAGGAAATATATGTTACCAAAATGAGGAAAAGAAAAAAATAGTGGAACATTGTTATAAAAATATATATCAATGGGAGACAGTATTAGAAGAAAAGATAAAACAATATCTAGAAAAAGCTGAAACATCTAAAATTCCAGGAAAATTTAAAAAGGCACTGGAAGAGAGAATAACAATGATGGAAGTGATAGAGGGAATTAAAAGATAAAAGAATGGGAAGACACCAAGGCCGGATGGACTACCAGCTGAGTTCTATAAAACATTACAAGATGTGTTAAGCAATGTAATGCTAAAAGTATTTAATAAGTTGCTATTAGAAGTGAGAATACCAAACTCATGGTCGGAGGCATATATAACTCTTATCCCAAAGAAGAGTCAGACTTACAGCAAATAAAGAACTATAGACCAATTTTATTATTAAACGTGGATTATAAAATCTTTGCATCAATAATGGCACAAAGACTGAAGAGACTGCTAAATGAATTCATCCATTCAGATCAAAATGGTTTCTTACTCAAGAGGCAGATTAGAGACAATATGCAGATTATATTGAACACTTTAAAATATTATGGAGCACACCCGGAAG